CTTGTAACCTTAAGCCCGCAGGTTAGGTGGATGGTCCCCTTTCTTCCTCTTCCTTCTTCCAGTAGAAGAAAGGAAGGGAGATGGTGTGGCACCCCAGCTGGGGGGGAGGGTTCCCTTACTAATGCAATGGTTAGGGGAAAGGAGTCCCGCCATCAAGGTTGAAAACGAACACTTTCACTCGAGGCAAAACTGCGACGTTGGCTGAATTATCTCCAAGCCCTTGCAGACGAACCAGCAGTGCTGGTACAATTGAATCTTGGAAAAGTGCTCTTCCTCTTCTTCGACATCACGCAACGTGCGCACGGATAAATTTCCGTCTCCAACCAGCCAACCAGCTGCATTTGAAGAGCTGCAGTGGGCTTGCAGGCAGAAACAAGCCAAGCTCTTGCTGAACAAGCGTCACTTCTTTGGGTCAACCTAAATTCTGCAGCGGTGCGTGCCTTTTGTGCTTGAAACAGCAGGTGCCATTAAATTAACAACAAGCCATAGGAGATATTCCCATTGCGCCGGCTAAGAAGAGCCTTGCACTTCCCAGTGGACTTCCCAGGATCCAATTGCTTGATTGAAGGGAACGGACTCACTCAACAGCCAAGCAAAGCCCCACCTGGCTATACACACGAGGTAGACACGACCCAAGCCAAACATTCAGTACGGTAAAGTGCCCAAGCTCTTGCTTTACAAGTATTAATCCGAATGCGTCAGGCTGGAGGTGCTCTAAGGTGCGGGGGCGCCTTGCGCAAACGCTTTCAGATACATACCTTCAGCGTCTAACCCATAAAAAACCCTTTGGATGACGGGTCCTCTTAGACAATGAAACCTTGCCACACCTAACCGGTAGCTGTTGTAAGACAATACTTTCCATCTAAAGAGAGAAAGGCGTTTAGATAAAGCTGGCGCGCTATTCCGTTAGGTTTTCATCTAAGAAGCGTGTGGGGCCAAAAATACGTGTTTCGTTAAATGAAACGCAAAACGAGTCAGATGTGAGGCCTTCCGATTAAATCCAAATGGGTTTCGGCTAGAGAGAAGGAAATTTTCGTCATGTGTTTGGGTGTTTACACCTAAAACCAAGGATTTGGGCGTGCTGTACAGAGGGGATAAAGGGGGTGTAACGATAATGATTTTACCTGGGCGCTAACTTCCTGGCGAACCCCAAATCTTAAACCTTAAAACTTAAATCGAACATGAACCCCCAAGTAAGCCTTGAAATTGAAATCTTGTCAAAACCAGGGTAAAACCCTAAAAACCTTAAATGAAACTTTAGATAAACCCTAAAAACAAACCCTAAACAGCCCCCAAACAAACCCTAAACAAACCCTAAAGAGTCGGTGACATGATAAACCTCTGGGCGGGGGCCCCGGCCTGAGGTAAACTTACATATATATATATATATATACATACATACATACATACATACAGTATCTGTCCTATCTTTGTATAGCTGGTCCATTAAAATCTAACCCCATTGCATCTCTGAACGAGGCCAACAGAAGAGCTGCAGGCGCTGCGCGAAGAGCTTGAAACTGCGATTCAGCAGGCAGGGCGACGCTGCGAGTTTTCGCAAGGCAGAAATGGTGAGGAAACCATGGTTTTCATTTCAATATTTTTTTAAAATTGGGTTTTGATGTTGCTTTCTTGATATTGTTTTTCAATGATGTTTTTGATGTTTTTTCATGTTTGCTGTTTTACATTTGTTCTTCATGCCGTCTTAATGCCTTCAAGATTGTTGATGGTGAAAGCGAAATCGTTTTCAATGGTGTGTCCTTGTTGACCTGTGGTTTTTCTACAGGTGTTCATTGGTTGATAATGGTTATGATTGCCGTCGTTTGCTTTTTGTTGAGGTGCATATATATATATACATATATATATACATACGTGCATTTATACATGCATACATGTATACATATATATATATACATACGTGCATTTATACATGCATACATATATACAGATATACAGATATACATATATACATATTTACATATATACATATATACATATATACATGTATACATGTATACATACATACATATATACATATATACATATATATATACATATATACATACGTGCATTTATACATGCATACATGTATACATATATATATATACACATGTATGAATACATATATATATATATACATAAACATAAATATACATACATATAAATTTAAATTCACATATTTAGTAAAAATTACATTTAGAAATACATATTTATTCACATATTTACATAGATATATATATATATATACATGTATATATATTTACACGTATATATTTATGTGTTTATTTACATATGCATACATTTGTATACATATGTTCATTTAAGATTACATATATATATATATCTATTATATCCATATGTATTTATATACATATATGTATTTATATACAGGCATATACATTTACATATTTATGAATTTACTTTTAAACGTATACATTTATATTTATTTTTATGTTTACAGATTTTACTTATATACATTATTACATTTTTGTATATACACATTTATGTACATATAGATTTACATGTCTATATATACGTTTACAGACATATATATATATACATATCCACATATAGGTACATAATAAATACACAATATGCATATATATATAGGCACATATATATATACATATTATATTTACATATATGTGCATATTAATGCATATATATACATATTTTTACATATACATATATGTACATGTTCATCAGTATATATATTATATTTTTTTTATTTCTTAATATTACAGGATCACATAGGTATATATGTACATACGCACACACACACATGTTTCCGATAGGTTATATGTTGCATATTGTATGTTATTTAACAGTTTTCTGATGATTGTTAAGGTGTTTTTTTTCATGTTTTTTGGTTCGTACCAGTGGATTTTTTTGAGCCGCAACCATCCAAAGTTCCACAGGTTTTCCTTCAATTTTTCCCTGAAATGAGAGATGGGCCAACAGCTGGTACCAAAAGTATCAGGAAGAGACTGCGTTGCAAGAAGTGCCGGGTGCCAAGTTCATCAGATTGCTGAGTTGATTCGGATGGTCCTTGGTGAATGGTAGCAGCGGGCCCCATGTTTCCGGACAGGTCAATAGCACAGTCTGAATGCTGAGGTTGGTTTGCACAGATGTCACCGAGAAATCTCTTGGTGAAGTGCTCCAAAAGTGCAGGTTCGTGGCCTGGAAATTTTTCATTTTAAAAAATTGATGGGTCCTTCGGTTGAGTGTTTCCTCATGTTGTAACAGCACAAATTTCTCATGTCGGTAGTATTTGCAGGCTTATATACAAGTCAGCATGGTGTCAAATTGTACAAGGCATTTCCATCTGGAGATACTTGATATATTTTGATATTACTTGAAACATTTGCGGGATCATCAATCATTACTTTGTTTCTGACGTTTTTGTTCCAGCTGTCCAACCCGCGTTGCGTTGAGCTGAGGCTGCTCCCTAGCAACCGTTGGCGGCGCGCTGCACAGGACTCACTGAAAGCCTTGGAAGCCGCCAAAGGCATCAGCTTCAAGCTCAGTGGAGATGGAAATGGATGGGTGTCGCCTCTGGTGTCCCAACCGGGATGGCTTCCCGCAGTTGATGGGATTGATCTGGCCGCCCAGGAGAAGTCTTGAAGCTGGAGCCGGTGGATGAGACCATCCTACAGGCAGATTTGATATGGAACCTTTGGAGCGACCTTTGTCCTGATTGCTTTTCAATGTTTTTGCGGTGTTTTTGTAATGATGTTTGCCAGTTACGTGGCACTTACGATGGTGACTCTGCCCTGAACGAGACTAGGGAATAGGGCTGATGTGGTTCGCTCGCCACAGGCTAACCTCAGCTCCGGCGGAGCTGCTTCAAAGCATTTGAGTCTGTCATTGCAGCAGGCGCCACGTGCAAATTGTCACAGTAAGTGTTTCCTTTTCCAGAGCTCACATGTCGCAGGTCAAGGAGCTGCAAGACCAAGGTGAGTTTGCTCTCTTGCAGTGTGAATTCTGTAGTCTTTGCTGATTTTCGTCACAGATCATGAGCAGAGCAAGCGAGGGGAAAGGTCATGCCATGTGATATCTAGATTACGAAATTTGTTGTCAAGCGGCTGCCCTTTTTCGGGATCGAATTCTGACCTGAAACGGTGCTAAGGTCTTGCCTTTTTTTTTGGAAGAAAGAGGTTTCACCTCAACTTTATTGTTTGGAAGGAAGGACCTAAGGACACCCTTGCGTGAGCAATGCCGAGGTGAGCTGAAGTCATCAGCTTTTCAGGAATTGCAGAGAGCACTGGACGAAGGCTACTTGGGCCCTGACCTCAGAAATCGAACAACATGGCTTTGGCGGGACATGTGAGTAATAAATATCCCGTGAGAAAAAACCATGGAACATTGCCCAGAAGTTCCGCAGCATTGTCACTTTTTGTGGGGACTGAACAAGACATAGGGATGCCGTTTTGTACGGCTTCCCTTCTCTGAGGTCTTGCAGGGGCTCAGAAAGACCAATCTCTTGAGACTTTGCTGAATTCACCACCCTGGCGAGAACCGCATTGGGAGGCCCAGCTTGAGTGATACTGCATTTCGTGAGGCGGAAGGTAAATGATTTGGAAATCCCGTGAAATCCCAATATGGGTGTTTTTATGTGTTTCTTAAAATGGGGGATCACCAAAACCATAGGTTTCAATACTAATTAAAGTGGTCTAGTTTTGGACGATTACCCCCATTTTAGGAAAGCTCCAGATGAATTCATGTCCAAGCTGAGATTTCTTGAAATGTACTCTATTACTAGCGGAGGTCTTGGCCACGATTTGGCAAAGATTGGAAAGTAACAAACTGCAGGTTATCCAGCCGAGCGACTTGCGACAGCCAGGATCTCATCGAAATTTCACTGGATGGGACTCTGTTTGATGGTTCTGGCATGTTCTGGTTTTAGCTTCATCACAATCATCACAAAATAAAGGAAGAGTACGGAACAATTGATCGCGACAAACGCCTACACAGATCTTCGCAGGTTCCGGATAGTTCTGATGCAGCTGAGGTTGGAATTGAGAGTCCAAGAAGCCTCCAAAGACGGTCACGCACTCAACTTCGCCTTCAGCGGCATCCCCGTCGGATCGCGCTGGACGCTGGGTGCAGGGCAAGAGCGACTTGCACAAGAAGTGCAGAGAGCGCTAGAGGTGCCGTATGTGGGCTGTCCTTTTTTCTTTGGAACGAGTGCTAACTGTCAAAAGCATAAAGCATCTGCTGCCACAGATTGGACTTTCCACATCATTGCATATCCTTTTCAGTTGGAAATTTGTTGGATGGGGTTCTGAAAACTCATTCATTTCTATGGTTTCCACAGTCCCTGAATGAACATCATCAAAATTCTGCGTCTTTCTTTGCCTGTGGGCCGAGCCTTGTCATTGCAGGTTGGGCAATGCGCCGTTGACCTTTCCAATGCGTTTCTGCTCTTGGATTTGGACAAGCTGGAGAGACTCTATTCCAAGGCCAAAGCACAGTCAAGTGCAGGGTCTGAATTGAAGTTTGATTTGCAGGTCAGCTGCTGAATTGACTGGAGACATGCAGAATGTAGAATTCAGAGTGGCATGCAAGACACAACCTGGAAGATCTAGAATATTCTAGAATCAGATCAAAAGGGATTGCTTTTTTCCCCAGTCTGGCTTTTGTGGCGCTTTTGTGGCTTTGGGATTCCTGGCTTTGTGAATTGTGTCTTCTTATTGGCTTTTGTTGCTTTTGGCTTCTTGGCTTTTTGTTTCTTGGCACTATGTTGCAACCATTGTGCAGGCAGAGAGTATAACATCAATTAGAAAGAATAAAAGGACAACAACAATGTTTCGTAAGAAAATTGTGTTTTTTCTTGCTTTTGCTTTTGTGGCTTTTGTCTTCTCGGCTCCTTAGTTTGTTTTCTTTAATTATGTTGTTGTTTTTGGCTTCTTTTTTTGGCTTTTGTGGTTTCTTGGCAGTATGCTGCAACTATCGGGCCGACAACGAGTAAAACATCAATGAGAAATAATGAGAACGGATAAAACAACATGATATACTGTAACACTGTAACATGATAATGATTTATAAGAAAGGCAAGATCCAATCCAACAATATAATTATATGAAACAGTTGACAACATCCAATGAAACTATTTTCACCCAATAGACCCAAGAGGTTTGTGCCTCAACCTACGTTCTGTACATATATATATAATATACTATTTATAAACACACCTTGTATCCCTAAATACAGCACCTTGATCCAACCCTCAACAAACGTTCAATAGACCCTAGACCAACCCTCAATAACCCTAAATAAACCCTAGACCAATCTAAATAAGCCCTAAACCAAACCCTAAATATATCCTAAACCAACACTATGATAGCATCCAATCAAGCTATTTACACCCAACACGGTTGTGCGTCAACCTATATTCTACATGTTCACCAGGTGCATATTATACATGGAAAAATCAGTTTAAAGCCACGGAAAAATCGATGAACACAATGGAAAAATCGATGAACACCATGGAAAAAGTGATGAAAACCATGGGTAAGTCAATGAACACCATGGAAAACTCGATTAAAACCATGAACTGATCGATCGCAAAAACATTGATGAACACCATGGAAAAAACAATTTAAACCATGGACATGGAAAACTCGATTAAAACCATGAACCGATCGATCGCAAAAAAAATGATGAACACCATGGAAAAAAACAATTTTAACCATGGAAAAATCAATTAAAACCATGGAAAAACCGATTAACACCACGGAAAAATCGATTAAAACCATGGAAATATCGATGAACATTGCACATGATAAATTTTGGCTCGAATATTCAGCAAATTATATAGAATGGGCTAACGCCCTGGTGCCGCCGACCCCCCCATAAAGGGGGGGGGCTGATCGAAGCCAATATAATCCATGTGATCCGAAACCCTGGAGGATGTGGGTCAAGTCTTCGATTGGTTGCCAGATGTCAATATGTCTTGCCCAAAAAATGTTCAAGTATCATTCAAGAATAGATTGGAAAAAAACTATATGCTGATGAAGTGGTCCATCAACCCCCACATGCCGAGGCCTGAGCAGCTCGGGAGATCTTGGGATACACATTATCACCATGATATAGCATGAAATATCATATATAAATAAACCTGCGCTGGAAATGCAATAAACATCCTTTGGCCAGAGCATGTAGAAATAACTGTGGAAGAAGGCCGGGGCATACAAACGTTTGGCCGGTGTTGTGGGTAGAGCCGCGCTGCCATGGTGGTGCGGCGGTGCAAACCGCAGTGTGCCTCGGCTTGGCGGGCCATCGGCAGGCAGTGCTGACCTGCAAGCAGCCGCTTGGCTGGGGGGAGAGTGCAACCTGACGATGTTGGGATGGGAACTGATTGGGGGATTGAAAATGATGGTGGAGAGAGAGAACGATGGTTGGGAGTGAGAACGGTTGTAGGATTGAGACGTTTGTGGGATATGGAAGGAGTGATGGGATTGAGGACGAGTGTGGGTATTGAAAACGATTGTTGGGATTGACAAGAATCTGGGGTCGAACCCTTATGGTCAATTTGGTTCCATCTTGTGACTCCGTGTTGATTTATCGTCAGCTTTCATTTAGGGTGGTGACAAGTTGCAGGTCCAAGGATGGAAAAAGTAGGATTGCGAAAGTAGAAGAGACAATTTTGTAGAGGCCCCAGGTTGAACCAGTGTAGCAAGTTGGTAGGGCTTGAGAAAGAGTGGTGCCTTGATAACGATGGTTGCCGGCGTGGCCGGACAGGGTGGAATTGCTGCGCCGAGCGAAGCTCTACCGGGGCAGAGGCAGTGGCGCGCAGCGGCTGTGCAGAAGCAGTTTCCATTGGCTCCAGGGTTTGCCACCACCGCCCACGCAGCCCAAGGGCAAACTTGCAAAGAAGGCGTTGTCATGGACATGCACATTGGGGAAGCAGGCGACCCATTGACAGCTTATATTGCGTTAACGCAGGTCCAAGACAGGCATGATTTGTTTGTGTACAGACCGTTCCCTGCAGCACCATTTCAAAAAGGGGCAAAAGTAGAGAACAGGACGGCGGGCAAACGAAGGAAGCAGAGCCGAAGGCCACAAAACGGCAGCCTTGAACGCCCTTAAAAACAGATGGCTGGGGCCTGTAGCTGCGAGAGTTGCCTTGGCAAGGCCTGCGGAAGCATTTGGGGGCGGGCAAACGGCAGCCTTGAACGCCCTTAAAAACAGATGGCTGGGGCCTGTAGCTGAAAGAGTTGCCTTGGCAAGGCCTGCGGAAGCATTTGGGGGCGGGCAAGCGGCAGCCTTGAACGCCCTTAAAAACAGATGGCTGGGGCCTGTAGCTGCGAGAGTTGCCTTGGCAAGGCATTGAACGGATGGCTGGGGCCTGTAGCTGCGAGAGTTGCCTTGGCAAGGGCGGAAGCATTTGGGGGCGGGCAAACGGCAGCCTTGAACGCCCTTAAAAACAGATGGCTGGGGCCTGTAGCTGCGAGAGTTGCCTTGGCAAGGCATGCGGAAGCATTTGGGGGCGGGCAAACGGCAGCCTTGAACGCCCTTAAAAACAGATGGCTGGGGCCTGTAGCTGCGAGAGTTGCCTTGGCAAGGCCTGCGGAAGCATTTGGGGGCGGGCAAACGAGCCTTGAACGCCCTGATGGCTGGGGCCTGTAGCTGCGAGAGTTGCCTTGGCAAGGCCTGCGGAAGCATTTGGGGGCGGGCAAACGGCAGCCTTGAACGCCCTTAAAAACAGATGGCTGGGGCCTGTAGCTGAAAGAGTTGCCTTGGCAAGGCCTGCGGAAGCATTTGGGGGCGGGCAAGCGGCAGCCTTGAACGCCCTTAAAAACAGATGGCTGGGGCCTGTAGCTGCGAGAGTTGCCTTGGCAAGGCATGCGGAAGCATTTGGGGGCGGGCAAACGGCAGCCTTGAACGCCCTTAAAAACAGATGGCTGGGGCCTGTAGCTGCGAGAGTTGCCTTGGCAAGGCCTGCGGAAGCATTTGGGGGCGGGCAAACGGCAGCCTTGAACGCCCTTAAAAACAGATGGCTGGGGGGCCTGTAGCTGGCGGCCATGGACGCAAATGGCGACTTCAAAACAAGTTCCACACCTGCGGTGGTCCCAGGCGCCGCCCCTGCCTTGGCGAAGGCCGGGGTCGGCGGATATACATGTTTTTGCTCCAAAATGTAGCAAATAGCACGAAAAAGTGCCCCAGACTGGAAAACAAAAAAAATGCATCCGATCAAAAGTCAAATGTTGTCATGTTTGCCACGAGCCCCAAACTGAGTGAAAGAACGAGCGTTTCAGGCGCTTGATTTGAAGATGTCGGGCCTGGAGAAGGTGCAAGCAAAGATACAAACACTTGCCAGTCGTGAGCTTAGCACATGATGGTCAACAGTCAACCCATGTCAACCCAAATTGGACCCCCAAAAAAAGTTTTAGTCATTCCAAGTCGCATCCATAATAAACATTCAGAAACCATTATTTAGTCATTGCATGTCATTGCTATTAGATTATTAGTATATAATCTTCTCTCATCATGTTTTCTTAGGGCACAAAATAACTCTCCACAAGCAGTTTTCTTAGCTCCGCTGCTTCACCCGAGGTAGAAGAGCACGGAGTTCAAGGTCTGCCATTGCCCCCAAGGCACATCATGTTCCAATGGATTCAGGAGAAATACTCATTTGATATGCAGAACGGTCTGGTATCACATACATGTTGTATAAGAATGATATGTTATTATAGGGCTTCGCACACTGGCGATGCCCCAAGGGTTGTTGGTCCAGAATGTCGCCCGCTTGCTCTTCTGTTGCTGTTGTTGCTGCTGTTGCTGCTGCTGCTGCTGCTGTTGCTGCTGTTGTTGTTGTTGTCCTCGTTGGTTGTTGTTGGTTGTTGTTGGTTGTTGTTGGTTGTTGTTGGTTGTTGTTGGTTGTTGTTGGTTGTTGTTGGTTGTTGTTGGTTGTTGTTGGTTGTTGTTGGTTGTTGTTGGTTGTTGTTGGTTGTTGCTGGTTGTTGTTGGTTGTTGTTGGTTGTTGTTGGTTGTTGTTGGTTGTGGTTGTGGTTGTGGTTGTGGTTGTGGTGGTGGTTGTTGTTGTTGTTGTTGTTGTTGTTTGTTGTTGTTGTTTGTTGTTGTTGTTGTTGTTTGTTGTTGTTGTTGTTGTTGTTGTTATGGTGGTAGTGTCATTGGTGGTGTTGCTTGGGTGCATCTTGCAACCATCTGACTGCACAGCTCTTCTTCTCATTCGTTTAGGAACCAAAAATGGAGCAAACAATACCGTAAATACCGATGTTTTTTGCGAGGCCCAAAGCCATGGTATTTACGATGTTGATTGCATTTGGTAGCAAACATCACGGTACTTACAGTGTTTCTTGGCCAGCGCCTAGCAAAAACACTTGTATTTGTGCAAAAGCGACAAAAACAATGTAAATTACAGTGAGCAGCAAAAATCCGCCAAGAAGTGCCCAAAATCGACCTTCCAAACCCTCCTTTGGCGGCGGCTGGGCTACCTGGCCAAGCCTCTGCGGACCACGGGCCTAACGCCACCTGAAGGCAGTAAAGACGTCATAATTCTTGAGGTGCACCAGCAGCTGCCAGGAGCTGGCTTCGATACAACGAAAGCCCCCTTAGCTGCAGGTTTCACCGGGCTTTGCGGGCCACCGGCCACTCTCTAACGATACCTTCACCTTCTGAGGTGAGGGCAGAAACAACACTGCGCGTGCTCCCACTGCCGTCGGCTGGGGCCGGCGGATATTTAATATACACATGCATAATATAGAGGATTGTGTGTTGTGTACACATGTGTTTCTGTACATCGAGTTCAAGTGCACCCAGATACGCTGATGCCCAAGACCTTTTCCTGAGAGGTCGCTTTGCAAAGCCCAAATGCGACGTTGTCGAGGACGTGGAGATTGATTTCACTTGGTTTTGGTTGAATGCAGAGCAGCTGCAAATTGCCATGCACACATCACCTGCTGTACATTGTGCAGAAGTTTGGATCCATTTGCACGTCGGGCATGCTTTGCAATGACTTGCAGTGGGGAATTATTCCAAAACGAACACCTTGGCTACCAGGCAGTGGCCCAAAAGAATTCACCCTCTTTTTGTGCTGGGCAAAGACTTCTGTGCCCCACTAAGGGTGCCCAACTTGGCCATATCAGGACTCAGACCTTGGATGAGAGTTGATGCCTCAGTAAACACGCCACAAAATTTGGGATATCCAGATCCATCCAGTCTGTTGATGTTTGCTGTGGTACCGAACGACTTGCCCAGTACTGCTCATACTGTACCGGCCTATTTCCAGCTCAACGACGATTTGGATCTGCCCCCGGTCATGAGGTGCTTCAACAGCAGAGGAATACGAGAGTGAGGCGTTTGGAGCGATGGAGAATAACAAACGTCAAAAGAGTAGTCTTGCTTTGGATCGCAAGCTCTGAAAGGATATATATACATATATGAGATTCTGTCAAAATTTGCGCTGATTAAGTATGTACTGGGGTGTGCATCGGATGTTGGCTGTAGCATGAAACCTGCTAAAACGATAGGGGACTCACAAAAAAAAACGATACGAATTTTGATTGCTCATGCTTGGGCGTTTTTGTGGTGTGGGCATAGTGTTTGCTTAGGCAAGGTTGTTTTTTCACGGTTGGATCCACTTCACCATGAATGGGTGCGCCCATGCGGTGGGTTGACTTTACATGACTTTACATGACTTTACATTACTTTAGCCACCTAGGTGGGCTGCTTAAACTCGGCACCGAGTAGCTCAGATTACGGAAACCATGCATCTATTCGCAGGCAGTGTAGGAGTGGCCAACTCCATGCAGTATCTCGTTTTGCTCCCTGCCCTAGCTTTGGTACACCGCGGCGAACTATTCATTCAGTCTCGCACGCATGTGACTTGCAAAGATGGAGCCCGCGCAGAACAATACCCAAAACGATATCCAAACGATCCTATTTTTTCCAAAAGCGCCCTGGGTGACCGACTGGTCACACAAAAGGCCGAACAGGTGGTGGATGTTGGTAGTATGTTGTAGTGATGGACTAAAGTTTTGTGCCCCGGCTGGAAAAATTTTGCGGTTACTAATAGCAGCTGTGAGTGGCCAAAGCATGCCAAAACCCATTTTCTTTCCAAAAGACTTGCTGGTTGAAGAGACCGCCCAAGCAGCGCGAAGGAGGACCAGACAGGCACGGGCAAAAGCACAAGTGCGCCCCAACGCGCGCAAACAAAGATCGCCAAGGATGAGGATCCAAGTGGACGCGCTTCAAAACTATGCTTGAACAGAGATAAAATTTTGTCAAAATCTGTAAAAACAGGAAACCCCTAAACGATAGGGGGCGCACTAACTAGATGACGCACTTGACGTAAACATATTTTAAACACGTATGTATATATATATATATACACGTATAAATGTGCTTATAAATTTATATTCGAAGATTTTTGCAACGTTTGATCATGCCTGGATGGTTCCGATATGTTCCGATTTTTTGAGCACAGGTTGAAGAGTGCATGAGGACTAAATTTGCAGAGAAGATTTTGTTTGTCATTTGGATCCCTTAATCCCTCGAGATACAGGTCCCACAGCTTTAGATCACAACATGCCAACATGCCTAGAATCCAGATGACACAAGCGCTTGATGGTTAACTCTCAGTTTTAGCTTTGTACCAAAATGTCCGATGCATGCAGAGTATGGTATCTTAGAATCTGACTTGCGAAAAATGTTTCCCAATTGCTGGAGCCTTTTCGGAGCTCCTGGCGGGTCTCAAAATGGTTTGTACACCCCTAGTTATGGCCACTATAGATTGAGATAACGATGACTAATGGGTGGATTAAATATGGTACCCATGGGTAACCCATTTTCAGACAAAGCCAAACATGTGTGTTTGCCTTTGTTTCATTTCGTTGAAATCATTGTGAACATGGGTCCTGAGATTTGGAGGGCCCAAAGGCCCAAAGATGCCCAAGGTAGGGTTTACTCTAGCAGCCAGGCTTTTGTACGTCGATGTACGTCGGGACTGAGGAAACCCAAATTCTGGACCGTTCACAACATCCAAAACTTGAATGATGACATGTTCTCTGAATATCTCGCTGAATAGCATCCAATAGCCTTCCCCCTTGCAAATTATCTAACCCTGCCTATTCTAAATTTCCGGTGTCTAATTCAAGTTCGGGAGATGCCAAAAGCAGCCTGGCCTGAACAGGAGGTCAGGGACGTGCGATGTCAAAATCTGATCTTCTTGGACTTGGAGCTCACTTCGGGCTTCTACGACTTCGAAGATGAATCGGATATTCTCGAGGTAGGAGCAAGTGTCGACCGTCGTCCATGCGCTTAGGCAACCCTTTTTATTACGTTGATGAACGCTTCAAGTGAGCTCAACGAAGAAACGCAAACGTGTTGACGTAACGTGTTACGTGTCGTAGCGCCATGGCGTGGGGGCCAGGTGGCAGTGATTGTCACAGACAAAGACATGGAAGAGCTCGACCGAGGGCACTGGGTTCCTCGGCTGTGGAAGCTGTCAGTGCATCAGATGTTACAAAGGGAGTCGGATGTTGACGTGCATCGGCCAAGATGATTTGATAAATCAATGTAAATAATGTTGGCTACTGATGAGTGTGGCCCCCCGAACAATTTTAGGCTACTCAATAACTCGCCATTTTCTGGCCCCCCTCAACAATTTTTAGGATAGTCAACTTAAGTAAGGGTTTCAATTGCCATCAATCTACTTTCAATTGATTTTCCTTTTAAATCCCAAAAAAATCGCCCCAAATGTTTTTGTGCACAATAGGGTACCATCGAAACAATTACATTATTAAGGATCTGGGTCACTCATGGGGTACCCCCTTGAAAAATTGTTTGGGTGTTTTTTTAGTAAGGGTTTAATAAGGCATCTAATTATTTGGGAAACCTTGCATTTTCAAGGCTTTAACATGCATATGGCTTTCTAAAGTAAATGGACCAGCTTTACCCAAGGACGTATAAAGGTGGATAAAAGCTCCTCCTGCTGAGAAAAAACTTTGCACAATAGAGCTCCACCCCCATCATCCACAATATACTCAATAATTTTGCAAAAAAAAAACACCATAGAGGTCCATCACACTAATCGGTATACTACATTAGTTGATATTACGCGTACATGAACTTACATGTATAAGCATGCGTATTATGATTGTATATGTAGATTATATATATATATACAAGATATATATGATATATGATATATATGGTATTTATATATATGATATATATGATATACATGATATATGATTTTTTGATATACATGATGTATGATATATATGATATATTTGATATATATATATATATATATGATATATATGATATATATGATATATATATGATATATATATGATATATATATATATATATGGTATATTTGATATATGATATATATGATATATTGATGATATATTTGATATATATATATATATGATATATTTGATATATATATATATGATATATTTGATATATATATATATATATGATATATTTGATATATTTGATATATTTGATATATATGATATATATGATATGTATCAGATGTATGATATATATATATGATATATATATGATATATATGATGTTTATGATATACATGATATATATGATATATATGACATATATGACATATATGATATATATGATATATATGATATATATGATATATATGATATATATGATATATATATATATATATTATATGATATATTTGATATATTTGATATATATGATATATATGATATATATGATATATGATATATATATATATATGATATATCTGGTTATTGTGATGTTATTATATGACACATATAGTTAGGGGACTCGCAACCCATTTCCTCCCTGAACACCCGCTAACATTCAAGAAGTGGGTTCGCCATACTGAAAAACACATATGGAACAAGATGCAGCCCACGAAGCCGAATGCTCACACGTATGTTAATGGTAAAGATGTCGAAACACATAGGGTGAAAACTTCAGAGAATTTTCTGATGAACCTCACAATTTTCTCATGAACCTCACAATTTGCGATTTCAAAATCGATGCTTCGTGCGAAAATTCCGTCAATTTTGTAGAGTGTGGAGTGTAAAGTGCAGAGTGTGGAGTGTAAAGTGTAAAGTGGCGAGGGTGGAGTGTAAAGCGTAGAGTGCGGAGTGTAAAGTGTAGAGTGTAGAGTGTGAAGTTTAGACTGCGGAGTGTAAAGTGTAGAGTGCGGGGTGCCAAGTGTGAAGTGTGAAGTGTAGAGGGCGGAGTGTGGAGTGTAAAGTGTAGATTGTGGAGTGTCAAGTGTGAAGTGCACAGTGTAAAGTGTAGAGTGTGGAGTGTCAAGTGTGGAGTGTAAAGTGTAGAGTGTGGAGTGTAAAGTGTAGATTGTGGAGTGTCAAGTGTAAAGTGTAAAGTGTGCAGTGTAGAGTGTGGAGTGTAAAGTGTAGAGTGTGGAGTGTGGAGTGTGGAGTGCGGAGTGCGGAGTTTAATCTGTAAAGTGTAGAGTGTAGAGTGTGGAGTGCCAAGTGTAAAGCGTGAAGTGTAAAGTGGAGAGTGTGGAGTGGAAAGTGGAAAGTGGAAAGTGTAGAAATGTCTAGAGATTTGTAGAGATGTGTAGAGATGTGTGGAGATAGATGTGTAGAGTGTGAAGTGTGTGAAGTGTAAATTCTAGAGTGTGGAGTGTCAAGTGTAAAGTGTGCAGTGTAAAGTGTAGAGTGTGGAGTGTGGAGTTCAATGTGTAAAGTGTAGAGTGTGGAGTGTAGAGTGTGGGGTGTAGAGTGTGGAGTGTAAAGTGTAGAGTGCAGAGTGTATAGATGTGTAGGGATGTGTAGGGATGTGTAGGGATGTGTAGGGATGTGTAGGGATGTGTGAAGTGTGACATGTAAAGTCAGAGTGTGGAGCGTTAAGTGTGAAGTATAAAGTGCGGAGTGTACAGTGTAAAGTGTAGAGTGTGGAGTGTAAAGTGTAGAGTGCAGAGTGTCCCAAATACTGTCCTTGCCACGCAAAATGACATTCCACACACGACGGATCTGCACCAAATGCTGCGCTTGCCACGCAAAAGGCCACTCTCACGATATCCCATGCCTTCCACACAATGTGCACGTTGTCACCACTTGACGCAGCCCTGACAATGCAATTTGGAAAACACACAACACCACACGTCTAAAGTGCTGCACCTGCCACGCAAAATTACGATGGAGTCTCCAAAGTGCTGCGCCTGCCACGAAACATGTAAGTCATCTTCTGGCTCGGTGGTCAAGTTAACCCCATAGACGGCTGTCAGTAGTCCCCAAATGAAGGAAGTGCACAATTGAACCTCACCAACGACCATCAAAAGAAAGCATGACCTGCGCCTGTACTTCACATGTTGTAGGAAAACCAGTGACAGCGATCTGTCTCTCGAGCAACGTTGGAAAAAGGAGGTTTCCATGGCTGACAAAAGGAAATGAAGCCTGGTACTGCGGCCAGTTGTTCAACCAGCGACAAACGACATGGTGAAAAGCGAAAGAAGGCGAAGCCCGGTACTGCGGCCAGTTGTTCAACCAACGACAAACGACAGGGTGAGAAGTCATAAAATGGCCGGCTGTTTCACTTTACTTAGACGAATTGCTAGATTAAAACTGTAAATTCAATTAAATTCAGAGATCAGGTCGGAGGATCAAACATCCTACCTAGACAGGTATTCCCCGAAGGGCTGCATGTCACCATGACGAACAGACATGAGTATAACACGCTTAGTCAGAAATGTCGTTGCGAATTTTGCCGTGGAATGCATCAGACGTGCAAAAAACACCAACGCAACAACATGACACGATGAGATGAACCTAAACATATAGATATATAAATATATAATCACACTAGACGTTGACGGTATAAAACAACAGCGATATACTATACGTCCCCCCCATCTGCGACTTAATTGCGCCCAGGGGCGGGACTATATATACACATATAAACATCAATATATCTGCAGGTACAGGAAACCGGCAACGTTTCCCTTCCCACTCATGCCCACAGCTTCATTGCGCGTGGTAAGAAGAGTGCCACACGCCCCTGCGATAATAATTAAGAAGTTTTACATCTATTCAGATGGTACACACACAAAAATAAAACACCACACACACAAGAGAGGCACAGCAAGGCCACACACAGGGCCCACAGAACACAATGCAAAAAAATGTTTTTTGCCCCCTGGTTTAGGTTTATTGCTTGTGTCTTGCCCTGGCCTGTTCTATGGCTAGCTGGCACACCTGCATTAAAGGAAACCCAATGGATCCAAGGAGCTGATAGCTGTGGATGGACCTCCATTCCCAGCCCTGGAATCGAGGTCCACCGCAGGGATCATACCTTCTGGCTATTTGCGCGAACTTAGCTATCCTTGTTTCCCACGTCTTGCACCCATGATTTAAACTTACAATTTGCACGGTGGTTCGATGGTGCGTAAAAGAATAACAAAAACAGCCGAAAATAGTAGGTGGTTGTGAACCTTAACTGATACACCCATTTGTGGATGGCTTAACTCTAACCCACGAATTGGGGTTTTAAGAACACCAGGCTCGTTAACCATTTAGGATTCGTGGCCAATCACCCGAGTGAGGATCTTTATTTATCAGTTGCAAGTCAATAATCCACCCCGTTTATGGTATCCCTACCCCCTTAACCTAGGTTATTTGGGGGGCGTTACGAAATGGAACTTGCATTTTTCGGATTGTTTTTTTGGAGGGGTCAATTGTAGTTTTAAAGCTGTAAAGGTAGCGAAAATCAATGAATATAAAGGGAAATATATAAGTTCCGACCCTCTAGGCATGGCCCCGGTCAAAGAATATTCAGCGCATCTCCCAGGAATACACCCGGCACGTTGTAACCACGGAAATAAAGGGGGTGGCAGCAAGTTCTAAGTTACATTTTTTCTGCCCCCTTCCCCACAAAAATCAATACAATCCAATCTCCCAGAGCCATCCAGAGCCCCAACTCTTTCAGGTTCTCAAGCACAAAAAATGTAAGGTCCCTTGGGGGGAGGTTCCACACACCTGAGTTTTGTCAGGGGAAACAAAACCTCAGCGCCGCCAACTTAAAATTTTCCATGGCCCACCACGCAACATGATTGCTTCCAAAACTGCACAAAAGAAGGTGGAAACCACGAAAAACAATTTGGAGCAAAACAAATCTTCAAGGTACCCAGGGAATCCTAGGTGCAAAAAATGTAAGATCCCTTGGGGGAGGTTTCAAGTGCTTGCAATTTTTCATTCAGCACAGGACTTCAAGGTCGCCTACTTACATCTTCAGCACCCTGAAGGTACCCAGGGAATCATAGGGGCCAAAAATGTAAGATCCCTTGGGGGACGCTCCAGTTGCCTGCAATTTTGCATTCAAAACAGGACTTCAAGGTCACCAACTTACATTTTCAACATATTCAAGGTACCCAGGGAATCATAGGGACCAAAAATGTAAGATCCCTTGGGGGAGATTCCAAACTCTTGCAGTTTTTCATTGAAAAGAGGACCTTAAGACCACGAACTTACATTTTCCATGGCCAACCACCCAACACCGCTGCCAGAATCTTTTCTTAAACATTAAGACATGTCCAGAAAAATTGCGCCTTCAAAAATGTAACTTACATTTGAGCAGGTTGTACCTTCTAAATGTAACATTACCTTTTTCAGGTCCTTCCAAATTTCAGAGGGACCTACCTACATTTTTGAAGGTAGTGATTCTATGGGTGTTTGAAAAGATGCAAGTTACACTTTTGAAGGTTTTACCATGTTTTACCTACCCTCAATGTAAGTTACATTTAGAGGACCCCCCCTTAAAGTGGTGGGGATTTATGGTATGAAAACCATACTTGCATTATACAACAATTACAACCGTTTCCAACTGGTAAAGGTTCTAACTGTATGGATATATCTTAGCCAACTTCTTGGGGATGTTTTATAACTCGCCCGCCTCGACCAACAACTCTTTTGCGGGAGGGCTTTTGGTTTCGAATCGGAATGGAAAGCCAAGGAATCCAAACCCAGAACAGCGGCGGGCCCCAAAACGACATTACAACCTCTTTTGAAACCTTCAAAAATGAGAGGTTTTGCAGCTTCCCACGGCAACGCCGCAAAAACAACAGAGAATGAAGACGAGACAGGTGGGAAGCTCAAAGCAAGCACTTCGCACAAGACTTCCTCACATCTTCACAGCTTGTAACTCCAAAATTGGCTTTTTCCTACGAGCTTCGTCAAAATCGATATTTCGTGCGAGGCTTCCGTCAATTTTCATCACCTGCCACAAGCTTGCCACGTAATTTGCACGTCGTCGCGACTTCACGCAGCTCTGACAATGGGATTCGCAAAAAACATGTAACACCACACGCCTAAAGTGCTGCGCCTGCCACGCAAAATGACGATGGAGGTCTCCATGCAAAGTGTTGCGCCATGCAAATCATCTTCTGAAAACCGTGCACAAGTATTGCGCCTGTCACAGAGAACGACCTTCGACACATTATGAAAATTGTTGCGATGTCACAAAGTGCCACGCTTGCCACACGAAACGAGGTTGCGCAATGTTTGAAACCTTCAAAAGTGACCAGCACTCCGCATAGGCACGGCCGTAGCGACCTCATGCGGACACTTGCGAACGGTTGCAAGCGGTTGCGGACAGTTGCGAGCAGTGGCGAACGGTTGCGGACGCAAACGCAACGTGTAGCAAACACACCCTCAATCCCCCAAACTGAAACGGGAACCCCCGCTGCGCATTCGGGAATAATGTTTACATATCGTTCAGTCATTGTAGTAGCACACCTAAAGAGCCGGTAAGATAGCCTCGGAGAATGTAGGAGATATACGAAAGAAATGTGTGCAAGTTCAAGGGGTCGGCACCGGCGAGGGGATTCCAATCCAAAGTGTTTTGTTGCTTGGTGGGTTGAATTTGTAGGATTTGTTGCACGATTTCTGGTTTGATGTTGTGATTAATTAGGCGATATAATTTGCGATGTTGATGTTTTGCTGTGTGGTTGTTTTGTTTTTTTTTTGCATGATTTGTTTGCATGATGATGCGGATGCAGGGAAAGCCTAAGTAACTATGTGTTCTAGCTCATTTATGGAAGTGAACAGGAAAATTAATAGAGGTAAATGAACAGACAAACAGGTAAACCAATTGCAAAAAAAGATAGCAAATAGAGAGCAGTTGCAACCATATACGAATTTACAAGCAAACAAGATAAATAGATACAACAATATATATATATATTATATATATAGAAACATATTTCAACAAGTAAATGGAGATCGTTCTAAAACCTTCCTACTCAAATTTAGATTGCGGGTGTGTGCAGATCTTTGGGGTAGCTTACAACCTGCATCGCGCAAGTTTCGCGCAAGGCCGGCCCAAGGTTTTGCGCAAGGGAAAATGTAGTAGGGGGTATCTCATGTTGTTTATTTAAAGATGTTTTCCTAAGTTTGTGTGGCTACTCTGCATCTAGCTTGTATTTGTAGCATTGGCTGTTTCATACAGTTCCCGTGCTCAAGTCCCCCTGGTGTTTCGATCTGCAGTTTGATTGAAGAAAACATGAAAAAAGACAGGCTCGCCAAAAATGAGAATGTTTCAGCCCAAATCCGCGCAAGCTTCGCGCAAGAGCCGCGCAAGCTCAGGTCCAAAGTTGACCCCCGTAACATCTTTCCTCCATTCCAGCCCTGCACCTTCTAGGTTCAAGCAACGAGATCATGCCAGAACCCAGGATGAGTGTCCAAGTTGGCTGTGAGGACAACACTGCATGGCAAAGCTTTGCCAGCAGGCTGTGGAAACAGCCAGGTGCACAATGTGTAAACGGGCCGGAAGGAAAAGAGAAATTCTCTCATAAGAATATATATAGAATATATATATATAATATTTAAATATATATAATTTAATTTAATATAACATAATATAATATATTATAATTTAATTTAATATAATATAACATAATATAACTCAATTAAATATTATATAATATAACATGATATATTTTAATTTCATATAATAGAAAATAATGTAATTTAATACAATATTGAATAATATAATATTATATAGTTTTATTTGATACAATATAATTTAATAAAATATAGTTTAATATTATAATTCAATAAAACATAATTTAATGTTATATAATATACATATAATATATAACATATTTTTTGTAATACATATATATATATATGTAGTATGTTTTTATATATTATACATATGTATATTGTATATTTTATTGGTACATTTACATTATTTATATAATCTATATATATTATATATATTAATATATATATATATCCCAAGAAAATATTTTTATATATCATAAAATAAATAAATAAATAAATAAATATATATATAACTATATGTGTGTAATTTATTTATTTATATAATATATATTATATATTCAAATAGAAATAATAAAACAAATATAATATGATTTAACATAATATAGTTTAATAAAATAAAATATAATATTAAAGTATCATTTTATATACACATACATATTTATTGCACATATGTACGCATATCATAGACATATGGATACATTCTCTCTCTTTCTCTCTCTCTGTGTGTCTCTATATATGGATATAAATATGGAAATAAAGGACTAAATTGTATATGTGTTAGGAAGGCACGCACGGAAACAGGAGACGAAAACATGCAGAATCAAAAAATCAAGCGGGACTGTGGTCGCGCAAGGTCGGCGCGAGAACCATTTTCGTGCAAAACAACTTAGCACAACCCCCAAATGATAAATCTGATATAATATTATTTTGTATGTATTACATGTGTTTATACTAGATTAAAGTATGATGGTACACATATGTTTCAAATACATCGCAGGACATGTTGTGATTTGAACCCGTACAATCCACTGGCGGCCTCAGGTTCTGGGTGGTTTTAGCCGGCAGCACCTTGAAAGCCTTGGCGACTTTCACAAGGCATGATGGAAGATGGGGTAGGCATCATATGGGTTTGTTTGAAAATAGGGTATACCACCAATTGCGGCCGTTTAACAGGGAAAATTATCATTAACCATTGGGCTTACACTATTTTCAGACAAACCTATATTAATCATGGTACTGGGAGATGTTGAATGACTATGACTGTATGATTCCATCACAATCAGGTTTATGATTTTTGATGCAAACAAAATTAAAAAAATAATAAATATACACAGTGGCTGTGCTGTATTGCCAAGTTAGAGTAGATGAAAAGTTGAGGGGGGACAGTCCGCAATAAAAGAACATGAATTTGACAAGGACCATTTTCAAGAGTTAATCACGATTAGGGTGTTTGAAGATTGGGCACCATGTTCCCAATAATGAAGATAGGAATAAATTGTCATTTTGGATCATTTGTGTTATGCTCCAATGTTTGGGCATTACTTGAAAATTGCCAGGTTGGCGTTTAAAAACAGACGTCTGGCAATGTATCCATTTTTGGAGACGTCACCGAAATTCTGCGAGGAGAATTTCCGGGATGCAGAGCCGGGGGGAGAGTTTCCACCATTTGGACCGGATGGCAGGACGCCTCAGGATCCGGTTTGGGAGACCTGTTGGATCCTGTTTGATCCGGATGTGCAATTTTAGCTGGGGAAAATAAGTATCAAACGCATCTAGAAAAATGTGAGTGCCCCTATTTCATCCTATTTCTGCAATTATAATGTGTATTATGTGTGTATATATATATATTATATGGCTGCAGCTCAAAATGTAAGTAAGGTCCCGATCCATACCCCGGGCGCACAGGCGATCCATACCCCTGGTTTCATACCCCCGATCCATACCCTTTTGATGAGATTGAATTCATTTGAGATCATTTATGTAACTCCTTCGTTCCATACGTCCGGATCACCGCGTAGCGATCCATACCCGTTTTTTGAGCCATAACCATATTTATATTTATTTATATATATATAGATTATAGGGTAGGTGTACAAGTCGATATCAATTGATCAGATTGGCTTTGATGAGCTACCAGTACGAGGACTAGAAAGAAATGCAACACAAAACCAGACCAAAAGATCTGTACATGAAAACTGTCCAGGGGCCATCCGGGCAGCAAGAGCGAGAAGAAAATAGCCTGTCCACCAGCCATTCTCACAGGTGTGTTCCGAAACATTGTGCCATATTATTGGCCAATGCCATCCGTCAGGATCAAGAAGATCAATGGACGTTTTCAAGAATTCCATATCTCCAATATCTGCCACTTTTTTTAAGTGACATCAAATAGTTAAAGAATCTAACCTTCCAACCTTTCGCAGACCCACTGAACTCTGCACTCCAGAGGTGGTAACGGACTCTTCTCAGACGTGCTCGCATCCAGGCCTGCACTCAGGGGTCGAATGACTGTAAGTTGTTACATCAGGAATCATCAGGAATGTTGGTAAAGCAAGGACAAACCATCCCCAATCTTACCATAAATATTTGTATATATGTAATTATATACATACTGTATATGAATGTATAAATATCATAAATGGGTGCTATAAACCATCAATTTGTATTGGTGGTTTATGACATCGCTTTACTAACATTATACGTTGCAAAACTGGGCCCCGAACTCCGTTATTTCAGAGGCTGTCCTTGGAGCAAGTGGAGTCCGAAGTCATGGAACTCATCGAGAGGACAGTTTGGGCCATGGGTTACGAAAGCGCCCAAGACATTGAATGGATAGTACTATGGATAGTACTATGGATAGTACTATGGATAGTACTATGGATAGTACTATGGATAGTACTATGGATAGTACTATGGATAGTACTATGGATAGTACTATGGATAGTACTATGTAACACTATGTAACGCTATGTAACGCTATGTAACGCTATGTAACGCTATGTAACGCTATGTAACGCTATGTAACGCTAACGCTATGTAACGCTATGTAACCCTATGTAACCCTATGTAACCCTATGTAACACTACGTAACACTATGTAACCCTATGTAACCCTATGTAACACTATGTAACACTATGTACCACTATGTAACACTATGTAACACTATTTAACACTATGTAACACACTATGTAACACACTATGTAACACTATGTAACACTATGTAACACTATGTACCACTCTGTACCACTGTGTACCACTGTGTACCACTGTGTACCACTGTGTACCACTGTGTACCACTGTGTCACACTGTGTCACACTGTGTAACACTGTGTAACCCTGTGTAACCCTGTGTAACACTGTGTAACACTGTGTAACACTGTGTAACACTGTGTAACACTGTGTAACACTGTGCAACACTCTGTAACACTGTGTAACACTCTGTAACACTCTGTAACACTATGTAACACTATGTAACACTATGTAACACTATGTAACACTATGTAACACTATGTAACACTATGTAACACTATGTAGCACTATGTAGCACTATGTAGCACTATGTAGCACTATGTAGCACTACGTAGCACTACGTAGCACTACGTAACACTACGTAGCACTACGTAGCACTACGTAGCACTACGTAGCACTACGTAGCACTACGTAGCACTATGTAGCACTATGTAGCACTATGTAGCACTATGTAGCACTATGTAGCACTATGTAGCACCATGTAGCACTACGTAGCACTATGTAGCACTACGTAGCACTACGTAGCACTACGTAGCACTACGTAGCACTACGTAGCACTACGTAGCACTACGTAGCACTACGTAGCACTATGTAGCACTATGTAGCACTATGTAGCACTACGTAGCACTACGTAGCACTATGTAGCACTACGTAGCACTACGTAGCACTACGTAGCACTACGTAGCACTACGTAGCACTACGTAGCACTACGTAGCACTACGTAGCACTACGTAGCACTACGTAGCACTACGTAGCACTACGTGACACTACGTGACACTACGTGACACTACGTGACACTACGTGACACTACGTGACACTACGTGACACTACGTGACACTACGTGACACTACGTGACACTATGTAGCACTACGTGGCACTATGTAGCACTACGTGGCACTATGTAGCACTATGTAGCACTATGTAACACTATGTAACACTATGGAGCACTATGTAGCACTATGTAGCACTATGTAGCACTATGTAACACTATGTAGCACTATGTAGCACTATGTAGCACTATGTAGCACTATGTAGCACTATGTAGCACTATGTAACACTATGTAACACTATGTAACACTATGTAACACTATGTAGCACTATGTAGCACTATGTAGCACTATGTAGCACTATGTAGCACTATGTAGCACTATGTAACACTATGTAACACTATGTAACACTATGTAGCACTATGTACCACTATGTAGCACTATGTAGCACTATGTAGCACTATGTAGCACTATGTAGCACTATGTAGCACTATGTAGCACTATGTAACACTATGTAACACTATCTAAAGCTATGTAACGCTATGTAACGCTATGTAACGCTATGTAACACTATGTAACACTATGTAACACTATGTAACACTATGTAACACTATGTAACACTATGTAGCACTATGTAGCACTATGTAGCACTATGTAACACTATGTAACGCTATGTAACGCTATGTAGCGCTATGTAACGCTATGTAACGCTATGTAACGCTATGTAACGCTATGTAACGCTATGTAACGCTATGTAACGCTATGTAACGCTATGTAACGCTATGTAACGCTATGTAACGCTATGTAACGCTATGTAACGCTATGTAACGCTATGTAACGCTATGTAGCGCTATGTAACGCTATGTAACGCTATGTAACGCTATGTAACGCTATGTAACGCTATGTAACGCTATGTAACGCTATGTAACGCTATGTAACGCTATGTAACGCTATGTAACGCTATGTAACGCTATGTAACGCTATGTAACGCTATGTAACGCTATGTAGCACTATGTAACGCTATGTAACGCTATGTAACGCTATGTAACGCTATGTAACGCTATGTAACGCTATGTAGCGCTATGTAACGCTATGTAACGCTATGTGAACGCTATGTCACGCTATGTAACGCTATGTTAACGGCTCTGTAACGCTATGAACGCTCATGTAACGCTATGTAACGCTATGTAACGCTATGTAACACTATGTAACAATACGTAAACACTACGTAGCACTACGTAGCACTAAGTAGCACTACGTAGCACTACGTAGCACTAAGTAGCATACGTAGCAACCACGTTTTTTTTTTAAAAAAAAAGGGCACTACGTAGCACGACGTAGCCAATAGTAGACCACGTACACCTAAAAATAAGTAGCACCAGTAGCACCACGTAGCACCACGTAGCACCACGTAGCACCACGTAGCACCACGTAGCACCACGTAGCACCACGTAGCACCACGTAGCACCACGTAGCACCACGTAGCACCACGTAGCACCACGTAGCACCACGTAGCACCACGTAGCACCACGTAGCACCACGTAGCACCATGTAGCACCATGTAGCACCATGTAGCACCATGTAGCACCATGTAGCACCATGTAGCACCATGTAGCACCATGTAGCACCATGTAGCACCATGTAGCACCATGTAGCACCATGTAGCACCATGTAGCACCATGTAGCACCATGTAGCACCATGTAGCACCATGTAGCACCATGTAGCACCATGTAGCACCATGTAGCACCATGTAGCACCATGTAGCACCATCTAGCACCATCTAGCACCATCTAGCACCATCTAGCACCATCTAGCACCATCTAGCACCATCTAGCACCATCTAGCACCATCTAGCACCATGTAGCACCATCTAGCACCATGTAGCACCATGTAGCACCATGTAGCACCATGTAGCACCATGTAGCACCATGTAGCACCATGTAGCACCATGTAGCACCATGTAGCACCATGTAGCACCATGTAGCACCATGTAGCACCATGTAGCACCATGTAGCACCATGTAGCACCATGTAGCACCATGTAGCACCATGTAACACCATGTAACACCATGTAACACTATGTAACACTATGTAACACTATGTAACACTATGTAACACTATGTAACACTATGTAACACTATGTAACACTATGTAACACTATGTAACACTATGTAACACTATGCACACTATGCACACTATGCAACACTATGCAACACTATGCAACACTATGCAACACTATGCAACACTATGCAACACTATGCAACACTATGCAACACTATGCAACACTATGCAACACTATGCAACACTATGCAACACTATGCAACACTAATGCAACACTATGCAACACTATGCAACACTATGCAACACTATGGAACACTATGGAACACTATGGAACACGATGGAACACTATGGAACACTTTGGAACACTTTGGAACACTATGGAACACTATGGAACACTATGGAACACTATGGAACACTATGTAACACTATGTAACACTATGTAACACTATGCAACACTATGCAACACTATGCAACACTATGCAACACTATGCAACACTATGCAACACTATGCAACACTATGCAACACTATGCAACACTATGGAACACTATGGAACACGATGGAACACTGGAACACGATGGAACACTATGTAACACTATGCAACACTATGCAACACTATGCAACACTATGCAACACTATGCAACACTATGCAACACTATGCAACACCATGCAACACCATGCAACACCATGCAACACCATGCAACACCATGCAACACCATGCAACACCATGCAACACCATGCAACACTATGCAACACTATGTAACACTATGTAACATGTAACGCTATGTAACGCTATGTAACGCTATGTAACGCTATGTAACGCTATGTAACGCTATGTAACGCTATGTAACGCTATGTAACGCTATGTAACGCTATGTAACGCTATGTAACGCTATGTAACGCTATGTAACGCTATGTAACGCTATGTAACGCTATGTAACGCTATGTAACGCTATGTAACGCTATGTAACGCTATGTAACGCTATGTAACGCTATGTAACGCTATGTAACGCTATGTAACGCTATGTAACGCTATGTAACGCTATGTAACACTATGTAACACTACATGCTACCAGACTCCTAAGACCTGCATGTCATCGTGTCATCGTGGGAATATCCTCGTGGAACACAGTGGATGTTTCTTCCATGGCATATCGGCACGAGTTGGAAATCCATGGGATGTAGCGGGAGAATTTAGAGGTATTTGATACAATATGATACACTAATATATTGTCACATATATATATATATATATTATACATATTATATATATATATTATATATTTTTATATTATATATATATTATATATTTTTATATTATATATATATACAATCGTCAAATAAGTGGACACAGGTCAGCCAAGGTGTATCTTACAGCTGGCGATCACCCAGTTTTCTAAAGGCACTGTCCTCTTGGAGAGTGCCCTCTGGAGATGACCTCAGATGCAGTTCATGTTTGAACATGTTCGGACTCTACTGATTTACTGCAGTCATTATGATACTATGATTGTACTATTTTTATACTATGATTATCTATGATTATAGTATGATTTACTTATACGTATTGAATTCTTGATGGTCATTCATCTTGATATTGGTTGATATGAACTAATGGGAAAACCAGCCCTCGAGCCCTTAGACAAGGTCGGATACTCTGTGCAGTGTGACCGCGAAGTCATCAAGGACAAAATGCCAAGGTGCGTTGCCATCAAGGGATAAGATCCTGGCACCCATAGGCTTACTGGCCGGGCGTTTTTTCATAGCATGAAACACGAGAAACCATGATAAAACCCCTCCAGTTAATCAACAATGTTATGTTGTTTCCCCAGGAAAAGATGCAAAAGGATCCACAAATGGCCGATTGCCCTTTCTATGTTAACTACAGGCATCTGACAAAGTCGTACCTGTTTTAGGAATAGCATGCACGGTTACACTTTGATTGAGGACAGCGTTCCATGCAGAAAAACATTTAGGCATGACTTAGGCATGACTTCTTGGATACAGCGTTTACATTGGCGTGACATTGTCGCTTCCCTGTAACTGGAGGGTATTTTCCAGATATATTTCTGCCATTGCTGCGATGTTGGTGAATCGTTTCCTTCCCGCAGGCTGTATCGCCATTTGAGCCACCAGATCATCGACGCACTGCCAGCGGGTTTATAAAAAACGCCGACGGAGATAGCGATCTTTGAATCCATGATTCAAATCGTGGTTTCATATGTATCCCACGTATGATCTATTTTGGTACCTTACTGACCACCGATGTTGGGGCATGATACGACCCGGAAACATATGTATTTCGAAGAATTTTGTACAGAGTGTTAGTGTGTTCTACCCAGGATAATCCCGTCCAAATACTCAACATCCCCAACGAGGGACCCCAAGTGACTTGAGCTGCTAAAGAACCATTCTTTCTGAAGGGAAGATTTCACATGTGCCATGGTCGAAATATGAGCGTTTTTCGCATAGGGGATCGACATCCCCCCCTGAATATCCCCATAAAAAGAAGATAAAAGAAATGTGCGGTGATGTCAGGATTTCCATCTTTTTCCCATGTTTTGACCGTTTTTGACCGTTTTCTGTATGTTTGCACAGCTCCGCCGCTCCGCGCCAGGTGTCTGGCTTCTTCACCGTTGCCCGATATTGGTTGCCCGATCGCTGGCAAGACTGGGCATGGGACCTCAGGGGATGAACGGCCTGTGTAAAAATGGAGAAATGATCTGCATTTTTCCTGCAAAAAAGGGATGGGTAAAGATGGGTAAAGTTTGAATTATCATCATCTAAATATCATCTATTTGTCATGGGGATTGACATGGATTGACGATGAAGCGACAAAAACGGGATGGGTAACTCATGAGTACAGTCTGACCTCAACAGGTGTGTAGATTGCCTGAGGCGATTCTATTTTTGTTGAAGGATCTTTTCCATTGTCCTTGATATCAAGGTGTTTGTTGCTTGGCCAATTCAATGCCAATTCACTGCTGTACTCATTTGTGGTGATATGTGGTGACTGCCAACTTCTAGTTGCATACAACGGATCAGCAGTTGGCAGTTTTTAATTTTCAGCAGTTGAATCTGGTTTACTTATTCTTTGCAAAGTTTCTTTAACCAAACACGAAAAAGATCAGCTGCACGTGTTGGGTATCCCATTTCCGGCGCCTGGCAGGATCGAAGGTCCAACAGCTACAACCATCGGGCTCTGAATGATGCTGAAGATGCCATCGAAGCCATGCGCCAGGAAACCAAAATGTGAAGCACCGGAAGTTGGGTAAGTAATTTCACATTTATATAATTTTATATACTGTGTATATATATATATACATACATGTTTCATCCCATCATTATTTCTATCATATCATGGTGATTTATAGTGCATGTTTCATGGGCTTTTGGGGGATCAGAAGGGCTTTTGAGGCTGACATGTTTCGATGCCACTGATCCGACCAAGGATGGGTCCGCCAGAAGTTCTTCTTTCCCGACTGGACACCCCAGGACAGATTGCCAGATGCCAGATGGAGTCTGGTGGAATGCCAGATGTGAGGATGGAATGTTGCAGAAAAAAACTGAGGATTCACTGAACAGAAAAGGGGAACGTTGCGCTTGACGTCATGAGATCTTGGTTGAATGTTGCAAGGCTTCCATGTGCAGTTACCAGTTACCACACTTCCGGCTCCAAGCTGAGAGGAGATAAAGCAGCTGTCGTCCATGAAATTCTGAGTAGATCATACTGCTGGTATTTTGTGTGCTTAATTAATGTTATCCCTAGGACACCCAGTGAGATTCTGTGAACAAACCTGCATACTTTGAAATTGCTGGATGTTTGATTGTTTTTTTTAGTAAGTTTATACTTAAGACATTTGTTGACTGGTATGATTGAACCACTTGACACGTGTTTGTAGATTGAAAAGATTGAAAGCACCAAGCAGAATGAATCATCCTGTGAATCTTTGGCAGATCTTGCGACGAAAATCAGCAAAAGTTCAGCTGCTTGCTCTGTGGGTTGCGGTAGGTTCAGGAATCAAGCTGGACATTTTGCCTGGCCTTAGGAACACACAGCCATCGTGAGGAAGCTGATATATAAATTCCTGTTACAGTTATACGATATAGTTACCATTACTTACATAACTAACTCTTATATTATAATATATAGTTATTATATGTTATATTATAATATATAGTTATTATATGTTATTATATGCATGTTGTTACTGCTAGGCACCCGAATGAGAAAGGCGCCTCCTGATGGCACACGACCTGACAGTCCTGTGCCCTCAATCTCACCGCTTGCAACGAAGCAATACGTCTCCGGGGACCCCCCAGGCTTTGCAAAGTGTTTGGAGTATTATGGAGATTAAATAGAGTGAGAGAGATGATATCAATCTTCATCAAGTCGTTCCTGCACAGCTCCTGGGGTCCACACATCGCAGAAGAAATTGTGTATTCAAAGAGATTCACAGAGTATGGAATCTCAAAGAACCCTAACATTCCCCAGCACGGAGACAGAGCGCTTTACACATACCGGGGAGGCACGATCCAAGACCACAATTTGGTGCTTTGTCGCAACAAAAACATGGCGTCCATGACGGCATTCTGACCTGGCTGCGACCTTGACTTCTACACTCTGCGGACATTCGTTCAATCCTTGCACCTTGAAGAGGAGAAGACGCAAAAGCAAAACTCCACACCGAGGGAAGTAACAGAGAATGCACTGCCCTGTTTTTCAGCGTTATTATTATTATTACTATTATTATTATTATATAAGCCATTCATTTCTTAAAACTGGCAATTTCTTTTGTATCAAGCCAAGACTCACAGTTTTTTAACCCACGACTAGTGAATGATCGCAGCGAAACATCATGTGTTGGAGGAAATAATAAGAAATAGCTGACTTTGCTGACTAATTCATTTTGGAAGGGGTGAATACTCAACAAAAGTAACAAAAGCATACAAAATGAGACGAAAGTTTCGGCGCGATCCCTTTGTTGTGTTGAGGCGCAACACTCAACTGACACCAAAGGCCATCGCATTTCAAAGTGTTTTCTTCTGCGCAATGGACAGACGTTGACATCCATGCTACAATGTTGATGCTTGAAACAGTTGTTTCAATATGTGTCAAATTGTGTCAACAGTTTTTATTGCTGATTAAATGGATATAAATAATTATATATATATCATATTTGGATTCAATTATTCAACCAATTCTACCATTGGAAACATGGAAACACTTCCCTCAAACGTAGCGCTTTGATGTGGAAACAACATGCAGACGACCGCATGACATCTGAAGTGCAAGAAAAGATCTTGGAACATAACATCAAGATAGGCTTGCAAATGCGATCTTCTTCGAACGTAAAACCAAGATGGTTTATCACGTGCAAGAGAAGATCCCCTTAGCGAAAACGGCAAGACCGTTTATCAAGTGCAAGGTCAACGCTAATACACGCACCCACCCCTCTGTTTCCCCAGCTGAGTTGAATTGAAATTGAATTGAATTGAAGCCTGTATGCCACAATGGGCGGCTTATTGGGCACAGGCGTGACACAACAAAAGGATACTGTAGTAAATTTATGTAAAAGGCAAACATTTATATAACTACCATTGGCAAAATTCAAAAACTCACGACACAAACTCTTACAGGATTCGGCGTCTAACGCTTGAAAAAAAGCTTTGACATCATTTCCAGCGGCACAATTGTTCCAGCCTTGCGTCCCATGTGTTGGTAGACCTCCCAATGCATTTTGAAGTACGCAATTCCCAAGGCAGACCAACAGTCCGCAGACACGCTCACCACGTACGAAGCAAACTTCCAATATTTTTCCAAACATTGCATTGACCACGGTTTCATTTGTGCAGCGGACATGTCATGTGTTCTTGAACCCGTACGCTGCACACGTGACCGTGAAAGATTTCATGCTGCAGAGCGTTCCAATCAGTACCTGGTGGGGGCCAACAACAGACCGCAGAAAATGCCATTCCATGAAGAATGAAATGTGCAGCGGGCCAGCGCGTGCTTGAAAATGAAATGAATGAAAGCAACCAAATATATGTTATTGGATGTTATTGGATGTTATTGGATGTTATTGGATGTTATAAGCCCAGCCCACCCCACCCCGCCCCATTCCTACAAAATAATTAGGCGCCTGCTGTGCCCATAAGCAACGATGACAATTTTCACACAGCGTTGACAACATCTGTAAAATGCCAGGCGCATGGCCGCTTACCGACGTTGACACCAAAATCGCGGGTCTTCAAAGATAGCTGGAAGAGGGTATGTTGAAGATTCCAAGAGTTGTCTTACTGCACGCAGTGCTCCAAAAAATGAAGCATCAGTGATATTGCATATCAATACAAAAAACAAAAACTAAACTAACAATACCGTAATTAAGTGGGACCGTCAATTTTTGCAATGTAGCATCTAGTAATATATGCCATTTCTATTTCAAAGCCAGAAAAAGAATAGAACAAATTTCACTGTGATCCGCAGTTGGCCTGTATATGGCAATTGTTTATATACGTATATATATATAATTATACATATATATATATTATTATATTATATTATATTCTTGGGTGCTGCTTATCAATTTCACCAGCAGTCCTGCTATGGCACGTGCGAAGACGGAACATGACGTATCGAGATCCAAAGCGGGGAAGAAATTTAACTAAGAACAAATATTAAAGAGGGCGATGCAAAAACTGGTGCTCTTTTATCATGCCGTGACCGTAGCAAATGACATGCCCAACCGGCTACGATCTAGAAAAGAAAAGTTGCCCACAGTGTCTTGAACGGTTAAAGAGTAGACTGGCTGAACGGTTTCTTACTGTTCAGTCCTTGTGCCCTTTCGAAGTATTTAAACATACTTGGACCACTGTGGACCTTTGGGGCTGAGCACATTGGCAGGTTGAAATTCGATGCGCTGATGTCCAACATTTTGACCACGCGCCAACGTATGCAGCAATTGATGTTCGCTTGCTACCTTCGCAGTAAGGAGAAAAATTGAACCAACATTTATTTTTGTGGCTGGCTGGCACGTCGGCCATGGGCCGGAATGAACCGAATATTGTAAACTCCAGAGACAACGAACCCAAAAACTATACAACAATGCGGCCCGAAAGGAAAGCAGAAGATAAACATATCATCAAAATGCGCGTTTCCAAAAAACATGCGATGCAGTTCTTCAAAAGATAACGCAGTGCAAAACAATAAGATCAACAAATTGAACACGACGAGGTGAATCGAGGTGATGATGACGATGATGATGATGATGATGATGATATCCCTCTTCCCCAATTGCACAAACGAGCCCCCCTTCAATCTTTTCAGACATCTTCAGATTGGCGAGCAGGTCAAACCACATTTCTAATTGTTTTCGTCGGCTCCTTTGGCAATCAGAAGAAAAATGATGTCATTTCAAGACATTCCTCGTGAATCCCGATTTAGCTGCGCACTGTATTTCTTTCTCTCTTCGCAGCGCAAGTCGCGTCAGCGAAAAACATTATTTCAACTTCAACGCTCATTGCGAGCGCTTAAGGAAGGAGGCGTTCTCCATCTGCCAGATGGAGGTTTCTTGATTTTAACAAACGGCGGACCAACACACACACAGACACACAGAGACACACAATCACAATGAGTCACAATGATCCACAATGACTCACAATGACGGACAATGACGGACAATGACACAGCGCCGCGCAGACACACAGACATACAGAGACACAGAGAGACACCGAGAGACACAGAGGGACACAGAGACACAGAGAGACACAGAAGCGCAAAGAGACGCAGATAGATGCAGATAGACACAGACACACAGACACACAGACACACCCACACACCCACGTGCACAATACACTTGTCATTGAAATTGTCGTCCAGTAAAATGAGTAGCTGTCCCTTCCTCTTTCCAAGATCCATGACGAAACTGTTGCCAGATTGCGACAAACGTACATGAAACTGTCAACGATGTGAAATTGTAACTTGTTTGGTGGCCACGTCCCACGTCCGCAAAATGACGCTCCTTGCAGGATCCCCGGTGATTGGATCGCTCTAAAATGCCAATCATTTAAGGATATTTAAGGGGTATAAATCGGTATAGATTGGACATTCTGGGCGAAAACCTAGTCATAGTGATTTTATCCGCCTGGGAATCCCTTGGGGCCTGCATCTAAATCAGTATAATCAGTATAACCTGCCTCCTTTGGGGCATGACATTGAGGACAATTTTTGGGCCTTTTATGGTGAATTTTGGAAAATTGGATGAAACGTCTTATGCAGACGAACGGGGTGTCATAGGCCGACCTTGACAGCACATACCATCGCCTGGACTCCTGGACGGAACATTTCATAGACTCTTTGGATGGGGTCCCCGTGGATTCTATAGATCCTGCTGGTCCTGATGGAAACTACAAGGGCATGTTGTGCAGGACATAAAACGAACTCATTGTGGTCAATGGGTTAGACACTGCTGACATGAATATTCATGTATTTAAATGAATATACTGTATAGTATGTGTCACACAGTTGCGTCCCCTGTCATCTCCCGTTGTTGTGGGTCCCTATTGTTTCCCGCTGTCGTTCCCTTTATGGGCACCGATGGAATCGATCCGAAAGTTTCCTTCCACACCACTGGGCCCATCATTTCCCGGACACACACAGCTGGGTCTATAAATTTGTTTTTTTCCTTCCTCCTTGCCGACACCTTCCTCTCAAACCCAGG